GAAAGGGAGAACAGTGAAATAGTGAGGCTACAAGGAGCAGAGGTGGTGAAGGTGCAGGAGTTTAGGTACTTAGGATCAACTGTTCAGAGCAGAGGAGACTGTGGAAGAGAGGTGAAGAATAGAGTACAGGCAGGATGGAACAGCTGGAGAAAAGTGTCAGGAGTTCACTTTTGCAACGATTCCCTATTATACCAATAGAGGGAGCCCAAGTACTACTTCTTCTGGTGTTTTATAATGTTCAATCTTACATTGTAATTATATCTAAAAGACAAGGGTTTTGTCGATGCTTCATAAAAGGCCAGTTTTTAAGTTGAATTGCATTTATGTTAAAGGGTGTGAAGTTTCTTTTGGTGCTGGTCTACCTTGACAACAGAAGCTGCATATGGACCCTTTTCATTCATACCTGGTGTCTGACATCACAGTGGTAGTCCACCATGGCCTTCATCCAGCTGATGTTCTGCTCACCACGTCGTCTCCACAGCAGCTTGTTTTGATCAATGCTACCTTTGTGCAGAAGCACACTCAGTATGCCGGTACCAGATCCATGCATGTGGTAGTAAAAGATTAAACACTGCGGCTGGGAGGAGCCCCGCAGGTCAGAGGTCAGCAGACGAGCTTTGTGACCAGGCTGCATTAGGGACGCTTCAATATACATGAAGTAACCTAGAAGAAGTACAAGTGCCTTAATAGCATGGTTATAAAGGATGATTAACGTAGCTTAGCTAAGCCTTAGAAGACACAGTGAGCTGTAAAAAATACTTTACATTCTGGCAACATAGTAAGTTGTCAGTATGTGATGCTGGCAACTTACTGGCAACATAACATAACAAAACTAATTAGTTTTTTGGTGTGGAGGTGTACAGCTCTGTAGAACAGTGAGGTTCTGTGTTATAGTTTACCAGCTGTGTCATCACCACAGAAATCTTCTGTAGAGTAACTGCTGACTCAGTTCTCCTGTCATCTTACAGTTACAGTTTTGTCCTCTGTCTTGAAATGTGTTTTTTCTGAGAACCTTACAATATGACACAATTATGATATAATGCGAATAATTTGTATAATTTATGTGACAAAAGTTTCAATCTGTTAGAACTGCCATGGTCACGCCTAATGAAGACAAAAGCCAAAAGTAACAAATAAAAAAATAAGGACATAAAGTGGCTGCTGTCTAAAACTGGATAAAGACAGCACAAGATCTGCAACTTCTACTGGTCAGCTTTGAGCAACAGTGTTAAAAACAATGTTTTTAGTCACTTTGCATAAAGGAGCGAAAATATCACAAATCAGTCACTCTGCTGCACTATCTACTGAAACTAAGGGCCAACTGAAAATAATGTTGTCCTCGTGGTCCTTTCAGCCGCCTGGTTGTAGTCTTTTCATTCTACATCAAGGCTGCCCAGAGTGAGGCTTGTGACTCACAAAGTATATATTTAAAAAGTGACATGTTACAATTAAAAGTCACTCTCTACATCCTGCCACAGCTGAGGTTTCGACAGCAGCTGGGACAACTGTAGCCTTTTGCAGAAGTGAATGATTGTAACAGAAGTATGTCAACCCCAATGATTTACTTTTCTCTTTTTTATTTTAATTCACAATTTACAAATGTCTTAGAAGAGGTCCATGTTGTAATTCTGTTATTATATTATTTTGAGCCTGTTAGAAGGCAAGATTTTGCAGACCTTACTCCACAGTGTTTATTTTTAAAGCAGGGTACGTTAAGAAATAAATAGTAAATCTTCTTGTATGTAAGAGAAATTTTCTTTTCGACAGTATTGGGTGACATTAAGTAAGAACCAAAAGTGTCAAGAGTTCCACTACTGTATGTAAAATATGTCAATGCAATTGTGCAAAGTGGATTGCAATCTGAAAACAAGAGCACAGACTGGGCAAAAAGAAACAGTACATCGTAAATAAAAAATAAAATAAAAAGGGGAATATGCCTTTTATTCATGCATGTAGGAGTGTGATCTGTGTCTAGATGAGTAAAGCAGGGACTGAAGAATGACTCACCCACCCCTGTGGTGTGGTCTCCCCTGGGTCCTGTGTAGGAAGTAGGGGTATGTCCTCGCACTCTCAGCCAGTCGGCCTTGTCTCCATTTTTATCCTGGATGTAGCCGCAGATTCCACTTTCAAAGTTACACTGGCCTGGATGGCTGCCTGTGGAGTCAAAATAGGCTTGGTCAAATTTATGCTGCACATTTATTGAAATACTGAGGGGCCACGCCTTCTCAGAAATGCTTATTTGACCTAAGGTATAATATTAATGTTCAAATTATACCCTAAGAGTTTAAAACTGCAGTCTGTATCCCTGCTGTTAACATGCACCTGCCATTGCAATCCTGTAGTAGAACCACTTTGCTGTAACATTGCACAAGCCATGAGTTAGGTAAAGAAAAACAGCAGTATGTAAAAATGCAGCAGTGTATTTAAACATGATCAAAATAGAACAAAAATGTTTAACATTGAGTGAAATAAGTAGACGAAGATGAAGATAGGTAAACATTGGCCGAGAAAACAGCATAAAAAAAAATTGATAATTTATACATTTTTAGAAGATAAAAAACTGTTGGTATTAGCTATAGCTAACGAGTGCAAGACAAAATATGCTGTACAATCAAAAGGTAGAAAGTTAGCCTGAAATCTGATGACAGCAAGAGTCACAGTAAATTATAAAGAAATATTGAACAAAAACAGCTGCAAAAAAACAGCTGCACAACTGACTTTAACTATGGGAAATGGAAGTTAAAGAATGTTTTAAACCTGACCCACAGAGTGTTGAATTCCAGATTTTCTATTTATATAAGATACTGTTTTTGTGGAGGGATTATCCACAACACAACACATCTGCAGGAAGATTATAGGCCTGAAAAAATGAAAAAACATCTCCAAATAGTAAAGAAGAAAAAAAAAACAGCTTCAGCTTCATGGTTTCAGCCAATATGGCACAAAATCTACGAGAACTGGAAGAGAATGTGTAGCTGGGTCAGAAATGAGCAGGTGTTGGGGGCAAAATGCCCTGGAAATATTGAAAACTGCTCTTCAATTTTTAATGATAGGGTTTTTTTGACGTCACGTATAAAGATATTTGAGCGCCTTCTGCCAAGCAGGGATTAGATTTTGCACACTACATGACAAACAATTAGATCATTTATATTAGCCTTTACATTCTGAGGGAATGCAGTCAGAATGTCAAACTATGAAACTGTAGCGTTTGGCTGCGATAAATTAAAAAAAAAAGATACATGGAGTTATCCCAAGTTATAGAAAATTAGCCAATAGATAAAAAGCTAAACATGAGCCAAAAGACTGCAAAATATGGCCAAAAATTAGATCTAACAGTAAACCATCTTCAATCTTGGCTTTCATACACCAAGAAAGAATGCAACAGATATCTATGGTTGATGGACAAAAAAAGTTATTTAGTCAAAAATAAAAGATAGCGAGTTCACTAAAAAAATATTTCATTCCATATTTCAAGATGACTGAATGACCTGCTTTGATCTGACAGTCTCCCATACTGACTGTGATGTCATCGATGGCCACAAGACCACACTCCCAGAAATTTGTACATATGCTGGCAAAGACTACCTGACAAAAGAGAGAAAATACAGAAATTTTAATATTCATAAAAACGTAATGTTACTTTTAACGATGATGATGATTCCATACCTTAGACATCATGGGCTTCATATAGGTGACCTCCACCTGAGTCCACACAGCTCTGGAAGAGTCAGTCAGGCTCCACACCTTCTCCAGGGCCACGTTGTTTTCATCATAGATGTAAAGAACGAGAGAATTGTCCGCTTTTCTAAATCCATGGAGCATGTAGTAGAACCTCAGGCAGTACCTGTGGTTGCCTGGTAACAAGGGGCCGTGGAGCCGACCCATGTAACCGGGTCTTGAGGCAAAGGGGGTGTTTGCCAGGAGGAAACAGCCTAAATTAGGCCAGACAAAGAACAATCAACTTAGTCTGTGGTAACATTCAAACAGCTGCAAACCTGGGTGGTGCCAAGTGTCCATCACGGTGCAGCAGGAGACCAAGAAATCGGAACCATGGAACAAGACCATAAAATTTTATCTGTTGTTGCCTTTTGCACATGTCAAGTTACGCCCAATTATTTTAACTGTTTCTGGGAGGAGTACAGTCTTAGAAGCAATCAGCTGTGGAAACACTTTGTATCATTTGTTGACTGTTTATATAAATGGACAACTGCTACATTTGTGGTACAGTGATGTAGTTAAAGGTGCAATTAAATGGTTTGTATATAGGTCTGTGTAAAGTCTTGGTACAACAAAAGATAAAAAAATTGTTTATGTCAGTAATTGTTTGTCTGATATTCATATGGTCTAAATTGTGATCTAAATTCTCTATCACGTCATCTATGTGGGGATCAATCATGTTCAGCCTCCCTCATATTCTACAGATGAGATGAAACCAGAGAGCCTAGACTAGGGATAGCACCATACAACTTTTTCATGTCCGATACTGATACTGCAACTGCAGAATATCTGCAGATACTGATTTCAATCTGAAACCTTCTTTTCTCTTCCTCATTCAAACTTATGTTGACCATTTGGGCTTAGGTATCGGATCAGACGGACTATAGTTGTTTTTTGATGCTCAATTCTGAAATATACCGATCCTGAGTATCGGATCAAACCATTCCTAGCCTAGGCTGAAGCTTAACATAATTTCTGAAACCAGCGGATACATTTTTGTTATTCATTCTTTGCCTTTGGATCCAATGATTGAAGCTCTGTTATTTGCAGTCAATAGTGTTTCCTTTTGGAGTTTGGATGAAAAATGACAGCACTCAACGGTGTCAGTAACAGTATATCAGATGTTGATAAATTTGGCCAATGAGAGCCTTCCTCTCAGAACTCTAGCTGTTGGCCTACACTGAGTGAGTTAGTGGAAGTAACCTGTTCCTGTTGTATGGTCTCCAATCCTGTAGGCATTAGGTTTGACGGAAACTCTGTTCCACACTTTACTCTCCACTCTATCCTGGTGGTACAGACAAAGGCCATTCTCAAAGTCACAGTTGGCTATAGAGGGGTCGAAGGCCGGCTCTGGAAAAGGAAGTCAGGCATAAACATTTAACTTGTCATTTACTGTTTCCATTTTTCATGTGCAAAATTGTAAGTATGAGCTTGTATGACAACAGCAACGGTAAGAAAAGTTGACGTGGATTTCCAAATAAATCCAAGTGGGTTTTTAGACACACACTCTCATCAAGCATGATTCTTTATGTGGAAATATTATGAGAACCAGGGGAAAAACATCTATGAGAAGGAAAAAGGTTGAGTCAGCGTCTGGTAAAGATGTCATTTCACTGAACACAAAGGAAAAAAAATCGATGCACAGCAACAGTGAAGAAGAGAGGAAATTAGTCAGGTTTAGGAGTCATTTATGTTTTGCCTTCACTCTGCGTTTTTACAAAAAAAAAAAAAAGAAAGACTTTGTTCCATAGTCCATGTATGTGTGAGGTTAGGGGTCTGGACAATTAGGAGGCTAAGATCCCACCAAACCCTAAACATTGTATAAAATTTAGTTTTTTTACCTTGTTATTTTAGATTCTGAACTTAGTTATTTAAATAATAAACTGATTCATAAAGTATATCCATGTTTTTACTTAGTAACAAACACATTATGAAAAATTATGTATCATTATATCATTTTTACATATCTGACATTCATCTGCAGTTTGATGATAATGACTCTGAAACACAGCTTTTAATCATATGTGTTATGATTTACACTGTATTTTCCTCTAAACAGGATCATAACTTCAAATACTGACATAATGATTTGTTATAATAGACCCAAAACCAACTAACTGCGACTATAATTATCTCATGAAGTGTTTACTCAAACCACAAACCAATGGTACTGCTGATTTACTGCTACTCATGTTCTACTGCCCCGGGCTTCAGTTTTACACACCAGGAGGTTCTTATCAGGGTTTTTTTTTTGTGCAGGTTATTGTTCTAAACTTGTAGGTCAGCTTAGTAAGAGAAATGTGTTTGGGACTTGTGGTCATCCCTGAAAAAACTCCTCATGTTTGCTCTCACCCGTGTCAGTGTGGCAGAACTCAGGAGAAAAGGAGATGTCATCAATGGCCACATATCCTCCTCTGGCACTATTAAAAGCCACTTCAAACACAACCTGGAAAGTTGCACAGATACAAACATCAACTATTAACAGATGTGTAGTGAGCGGTCCACGGGCTGGACCTATTCATCATGAGAGCTCTGTGAATTGTGATGCTGTAAATCTGGTGACTTATTGGGATGAGCTGGCAGCTGCAGAAGATGTGGTGAGCAGACAGTGACATCAGTGTTCTGTAGGGTTAATTCAGGAACATGGGTGTTTAGTCAGCAGGCCAAGTTTTTATGGAAAAGCTCTGTGCAACTCTTGGCTTCACCGAGCACAGGATCTGACCCAGTTAGTAGTGTTACGCAAGCTTTTTTCCACAGCAGCATCAGCAAAAGCAGCAGCAGTGAAGGCAGCAGCAGCACGGCTGTGGGAGGTGTTTTTGGCTAAGAGCACAAAGAACAAGACAGAAAAGGAAGAGAAGTGGAAATCCACAGAGGAGTGAGTGTATATCTTTGTGTGTTTCTGGCCAGCTGCACATATCAGCAAAAAGACAACAAAAATACAGAGAGAAGGACAAATGCATCTGTGACACCACAAAAGTTTTTCTGAACAGCAAGAGAAAACACAGGTGTCATTGAACACATGATTCTCCTCGGTCGAGGTGGAGTCAGTTTGACAGTGAAACTTTATGCACTGCGAAACCAAAGCTCCAATTCAACAAATATTACAAGAACCCTCTAAGAACTGTTGTCAAGAAATACAACAGGACAGCCAGCAATTTCAACAGGACAGAAGTCCCACAAAAAATGGACAGTCCCCCCAATAAACTTTAATGCAGTCTAAGAACATCACAACAGATGGTGATCTTTGAATAGGGTCAATGCTCAAAAAAATTATACGAGATTATAAAGATTAGAAAGATTATACACTCGCAGGCCGCTTTGTATCTTTGTAGTATCAGATTGGGCTCACTTAAAGTTTCAGATCTGCCTCGACTCTCAGAGAATTAAATAGTCTTTTGGACCATTAGTTGACAAGTCTTCTACAAGTCTTCTGCAGGAATACTCCTGAAGATTCAGTTAGTTTTTTTTTTAAAATAGAGTGCAGCTCAGTTAGAACTTTATCAAATTGTCCCATTCATTTTGTTCTATTGTTTAAATGCATATAGTTCCTACCAAGCAGACAGTGTTTGCCTCAACAAACAGTTGTCAGTGGGTGTACAATAAATAGTGCAAACAACAAGTATGCAGATGTGTAGTTTTCTCTCAATATTAGCACAAATGACCAGATATTCAGATAATGAAAACATATGTATAAAAGCATTAATCTGAAGTCAACTAGTCTGTCCAGTGCTGACCTGCAGTGGGTGGGGGGCCTTGATGTCAACACTGACCATAGTCCAGTTCAGGGTGAAATACACCTCTGGCCTCCAGATCTCCTCATAATGACCCAGCTGATCTCTGCTGAAGAGGGAGAACATGTTTCCTCTCTCCTGGTCACGCTGGTAATAGAAGGTCAGGCAGCCGGCCATGGGGGCTGTGGTCATAGGTGACGTCAGCTTGGCTACTTCTTGGAAGTGCTTGGCGTAGACTGAGTCCACATACATGAAGTGTCCTAGAAGCAGTTGATGATCAGGATGAGATGGGTTCACATTGTTAGAGGCAGATAAAAAGTCAAAGTCATCAGTGGACAGGTCTGTTACACATCTATGCAAAAGACAAAAAAAAAAAAAAAACGTAAAATGTGCTAAGGTCATTATTGTAATGTTAAAACAATGAATACATAAATCAAGCATGTTAATACCATTCCCCACCTACACCAGGGGTCACAAACTCAAATTACCTGGGAGCCAATGAGGCGAGGAGTAGGAGAGGCAAGAAATAAAATAAAATTGGAGCACTTGACGCTGAGCCATATCTGCTCTGAAGAAGGGACATTTTCCCCTATCAGTTTAACTGTCTATGGTTTGAGTTTTTTACTTTCAAGACTGATATCTCTACTACTCAGAGGAGACTGTGTTACCTTATCTGTTGATTAGGTGTACAACACACGACTATAACAAGCTGCTTTTAAATACAGGGCAGGCCAACGTGCTGACAAATTGTATCAACATGTGAGTGGCGAAAAACATTCTATATGGGTTACAGCAATTTCATTTTTTCCTAGGACAGTAAAGACCTGCTGCCTTTACTTTACATATATCTTCAATTGGTCTAAAGTTTCTTGGAGTTCCTTCTGATTGGTTGAGTCAAATAGCCAATCAGAAGGAACTCCAAGGAACTTGGGACTAAGTATTAGATTGGATGTTGTCCAACCTCATTGCAGTTATCCCAGTCTTCAGCCACTCACTTAATAGTTTACTTTTTAAAAATATTAACATATTTTGTTCTTTATATTTTCCTTAATATTATGTAAATGTCTACACCTCAGTCTAACCATGTGTTTCCTCTTATTCAGAGCTAAAACCTCCCTGAAGCTGTGGCAGTCTGCACTCACACTTCACGGGTTGGGCGGCAAACTCTGCAATTATAACCACTGGTGTCAGCAGCAACACAAACACACATGTGGTTTGAAGTGTAAATTATATGAGGTACCGAGACATAGTCAGCGCTCGGCACATCACATCCCACCTGCACCACAAACCATGCAGTGACACGTCACGACAATAAACACTGTCTGTCTGTCAGTGGAAACAAAGGGGTAAAACTGATTAAACACAACAAAAGCCTTTGGTTAGCAGTGCTGGAAGTTCACAGCTGATGACTGGGTTGAGCTAAAAACCACAGAGGCTGGACGCAAACATCAGGACTGAGCTTTAACACTACCAACAAGATGCGTAGTTAATGTGTATTAAAAGTTGAGGTGTTTCCATGAGTCTAAATATTAGGTTTTAATATTGTGTGTGTGCATGTGTGTGTGTGTTTATAGACCTCTCTGGTTATTGTTGTTGGTGTGTTCTTTCAGCAGGTTGGACGCTGGTTCTTTTGCCACACCTCCCACATACCAGTTGACGTTGGGGTTCCAGCTGTTACTGTATCCACACAGGTGATGCTCCTCAAAGTTGCACTCTGGAAAAAATAAAAAATAAAGACAGAGTTTTTCAGGAACAAACACAGTTTAACCTCAACCAAGACATAAATCATAGGTGAAACATCTGATTGTTTCAGTGTTTTCTAAAGTGGGTTGTAGGATCTACTGAAACTAAGTTGATTCAGCAAACAGTGCAACAACAAACTTTTGCCACTGAACTTGTGGGGTAAATTTTAATCTATGCTACGCTGAATATGAGATTCAGACATTACATGGAGATATAAAGGTATGTGGGTAGGAAGGTAATTAAACAAAATAAAATATAACATTTACTGGAACAAGTTAATAACTAAAGGTTTGCTGTTATACAGTTAAAAGTAAAGAAGTCTCAAGAGTAGCCTCCAAAAAAGAAAAACAATTAGCTGCACTGTACAAGACAGTATGTCAAGCCAAAGAAAGGCTAAAATAGCTAAATGTTTCTCATAATATTGTGTGTTTAATAAAGTTGTCCTAAGAGTTGAAAGTTGTCGAAATATGTTTCCACCCTGCTGATGACAATATGTTATTACAGTACCTCATACAACCGCACTTTAAAAAACCCACTCTGTCTGTTTGATTTGATTCTGGCACTGACCTAAACAGTAACCAGGAACAATGTGAATTTCAAAGATGGCTACACTATTCCCAGAGCCACGTTTAGGTCGACCTTCCAGCAAAATCTGTGAGAAATAAAACATAAAAGGTGATTTGCAACAACATTAACACAAAAACATCACACACAGCATGTGTTCCTTCGTTTTAATGATGATTTGAGGCAGGATTTCACAAATTACTTCACAAAGTACAAAAGAACAGACTGTTCTCAGACAGAACAACTACTCTGGTGTCAAAAAAAGTACACCACCAAGCAAGTCTGCTGAGGACCACCTGCAGGAAAGTGGCACAGACTCTGAAAAAACAAAATTAAAACTCTTTTTATTCAATGGTGATGCAAATTTTTCAGGAATAGAGACAGATGCACAAAGTGTGAAGGAGAGATATGTGTTCTTTTAGCCCCGTGAAACCAAACTTGAAATGATCCACACATTATCACACTCAAACTGGAGCCAATATGTTACACTGTATACAATTAATTACTGTGTTTATTCTGTGGCCGACGGCCACGGACTTATCTATCCTCACAGTTTCCCAATATGCTAAACAGTTTTTACATTTTAAAAAATAACATCTGTGGTAAGATTTACTCTGTGTTTTATTTGAAGTGCTGTTATCTCAATAACTCCACCACATGCTCCAGCCCGGTGCACTTAGACATCGGTTTATCATCCAAAAAAAAGGCGTTGACTGAACCACTTAGTTCTTTTTTTTTAACCATTCTTGGTGAATTAGGATGGACTGAGCTGCTCACCTTTATCTGATACTTGTGATCATGACACTTCAGGAGACAGATCTGGACTGCAGGCAGGCCAGTTAAACAGACACACACTATGTCAATGAATTGTTGCGTTACCGTTTATGTTAAAACAGCTTTCCATAAGTACCAACAGGTCTGCAGTGTGGACGTATTTGACATAATTGATTAATTATTATTATTAATAATTTATTATTTATTATTAATTTATGCAATTGTAGATCCTTGATTATATTGAGGTTTAGTACAGGGTCATAGCTATAAATGCAATGGTACTAATAATTTAAAATAATCTTTCATAATCAGTTTTCGGTTTAAATTAAGAATTATAATTTTGGTGCATCACTAATTGATGCTTTTGTAATCTGTGCAGAACAAAGCCTGACAATGACATGATACAAAAATCCAAATAGTTCCTTGGAAGAGATGATATCTTAGAACACATACAATATGTCAAACTCAAGGCCTGTAGACATTATCCAGCCCACCACCTCATTTTTATGTGGCCTACCACATATTCGAGTTCAACACAAATGTGGTTGTTTGAAATAAAACTCTATTGTATAAAGTTGATGCTAAAGCTGACTGGTTTGGTTAAATGGAGGTACAAATGGAGAATGGTTTGAACAGTCATTTTTTTACCTGATGTGGGTTGGTGGTGTTGGGGAGATCAACACTTGCGATGAGCCAGCTGTCAGACGGGGTGTTGGCACTCCACAGACTGTAGTCAAAGTTGTCGCTGTCAGGTCTGAGGTGGAGGTGAAGTGAACCTTGTCCAGTGATCTGGTAGACCAGCCTCAAACAGCTCCATTCCTGTTGATCCAGCACTGGACTGACCAGAACAGCCTGCTCCTGGTCTGACAGGACAGCCGAGTCCACTGTAACTAAATGTCCTGTGGAATTGAAGACACATTCAATAATCGACATCGACAATTTTTGGGGGGATTGCCTTCAACAAGCTCCACTGACATCTCCAAATATGGCTTCCACAGGGACCTAAGCAAGTAGAACAGAACCAAGTAAAGAGACGGGAATATGCAAGTGTTCTTCAGACTTTATGATAAAAAGAGCTAAATCATGTAACCGAGAAACTGCATTAAGACTCAAGCTCTGAAGTTGAAGTTTCCATCGTCCCTTTATGTCACATCTGACTCTCTTTAGCCGAACGAAGAGCAGAGAGACGTGCAGTAGAAATAAACACTGTTCATGAAGAGCTGCTCTAAGTGCCTTCAGCTCTACATCTAGATGACGAGGAGGGGAAACTCTGGTTGTATTAACAGTGGTATCTAAAACCTTTTTTCAGGTCAAGTGGAGTTCATCAAGAGACTGCATGGACTGCACCTGACAGGTAAGGCCAAACAGTGTTTCACCAACAGTGTAGAGAGCTGATATCAGGCTGAGGTCACAGTAATCTGCAGGTTAATGTGACTGTTTTACCCTTACAGCCCTATACCAGCCACTCATCTTACTGTCTCAGTACCAAAAGCTAACCTTAGCCTCAGAAAGACATTTGTAAAGGAGGTAAATTACTGCTTTCTACCCAACCGTTTAATAGCCTTCAAGTTAATATGGAGCAAATTAACTTCAACCTGCATGTTGTTTTTTTACAGGCAGTGGAAAAAAGTCAGTAGTTGCCAAAAATGAATGTTGCTCTAGCTCTTCATCAAGAACATTGACTGAGTTACAGGGTTGGATTCACCCTAAATGATGTTGCTATGCTGCCTGTACCAAACTCTCAGCTGATTTTTCCTTTAACATATTTTGTATCTTTCCCTTGTTGCTTTTTAAATATTAGCACATTTTCCCTCTGAAATTGTCAACATTTGAAAAATCCCAAACTGGTCCAGGAGAATTTTTAAACAGAGGAAAGATAAGGATAATTCACTGTGGTGGTCTGCAGGACTGCAGTGAGGCCCCGACAGCTGTCCAACTCACTTCATCCATCCATGTCTTCCTGTTTATATCTGTCTAGCACAGACTCATCTCTTTGTTTCTGATGTCTCTGTTCAGTGACTATAATCACCTTAGGACATTCATCCTGGACGGAACCACAAATTGTCTTGGCTCTTTTTTTCAGTGCAGCCTCCTCACCTCAAACCCATATTGCCATGGCAACCAAACAGAAAACACTACCATAACGGTCCTCTTTTTATGTGAGTCTATGTGCTGCCACAGTGGGTGTAGTCTATCACCAACATCTCCCAGACCAGACTAGTGGTTAGAACCCATTCCATCTGAGTCTGCTCAGTGGTTTAGTACGTAACACACTGGGTCTTTGCTACGGCTTGTGTGGGGCAGAACTCAGTTTTCTTCTGAATATGTAACATGCTAGCAGCACCAAGCACACACACACACAAAGTTAAAACCTCGCCTTGGAGAAAGATGGCACTCAAAAATTTATAGTCACTTGTCTCAACAGTGGGAACGTAAACAGTGGTGACAGATGAGCTCAAACAGAGGGAGCAGCTTAGGGACACTGTGTGTCTTGATGGAAAAACAAAGGTAAAAACTAATTTGGAAATTTACATTGGCATGTGGATGGAAAAGCATGACACACTTCTGTTTTGCAAGTGGTCCACATTCAACACACCCAACATTGTAGCGCTCTGGTGAGGTTTTCTTTAGAGCAAATACTATGTTTTTGTTTGATGTAATAACACAAATGCTACTTGTTAAAGGGTTGTGAATTCTATGGTGTACACATTTGTATGTGTTCAAATTCTAAAAGAGTAATCTAAAAAAGATAAATGTTACATTATAGTTATGAAATAACCTTTGTGTATCTTTGCAGAGACCATGTCTGTCATTCTGGCCATTTTTTCCCCAGACATTTAGCAGCAGTTTCGTGGACTTGCTTTGCATTGCTTTGTTTGTTGCTGTGCAAAACCTCCTGTAGGAGAACATCACATTCCACTTCACCACAATCATAGATTCACAGGATAAAACAGCCAGACATAACCAGACTTATGTTGTTTATGCTGTACAACTAGGACAGCCCCGATCTGTACATTTGGGAAACTAAACAACCACTTAACAAAGCAAGCACCAACACAAAACAGCCAGCTATTCTGGTCAGGATTTATCCCCCTGTTTTTAGAGACAAATAAACGCTCTATTCAGGAGAACAACATATGCATTCTGACCAGAGAAGACAGATGGTTTAGGAGATATGACACTGACCTGGAAAAATCATTTGTTAACAGTGGGGGTGGATTAATGCACCCGCTATTACCCCCCTACCTTACTGTCTCCTCATGAGAAACCCAACACTCTGAACAAATCTGGGCCTTTTCCACTGCAGTACAGTGGAAAGTACGCCAGATCAGATGTGTACTGTTCCATACTGTACCGTTCCTTTTTGAACTTAAACATACCACCCACTGGAAAGAAAGCAAATGTGTTGTGATGCTGGGTGACCTGTCACAACACATCACAAAAGCATTGACTCATCAGGTTTTTTTGTGTGTATTTCTGAGCCTTTGTTTTTGTAGCTGGTGTGTCTGTTGCACTTTAGTTTCAAAAACCGAAAGTAGAAACTTACGAGCGGCGGTTGTGTAATTCACTGTCACAGAACGTGACGTCATAGGACAATTACTGCAGCATTAGAGTTGAAGGGTAAACGTCGGATCAGATCAGAAGGCCTGGCTCAAAGACATTACAGTGGGTAACAAGCTGATCAGTAGACCTGGAGTAAGTCGATGGGTTTTACACTTTGTAAAAATAAATATCTGTCTATAAATAAACATACTAACATACTCTTATGTGACATCAGTTAAAGAGATGATGGTCTCACCCTGAGACTCCGTATTAAATAGCAGCAGTTGTAGGTGTTTGAACTGAGTTTGGGTTTTCTGCAGTAGCCCAGACGTACAAGAAGAAAAAATAACTAATATTTTGGACCATAAAGCAATGAATGGGATTCATTAATTTTATATAGATTAATCATTTTTTTATCATTTATAATTGATTGTACATGCTTTGTTTTCAACTTGTAATGATGCAGACAAAACTGATTATTTGTGCTTAATCACTACATGTAACCTGGATAGTGATATTACTGCATAGTGATATGACTTTTATCTAGAGGTTAGATGTATGGGTGTTTGTGTGTCAGTGTGTGTTTGTTTGTAGAGCAGCTCCACACCACACAGTACCTTCTTCATTCATACTCCAGCTGCCAGATTCGGATGTGTAGCCGCAGGTGCCCAGTTCAAAGTTGCAGGATCCAGGCAGCAGCTGTGGCTGAGCTGTGGTCAGTCTGCACAGCAACTGCAGCACAAGCAGGACTGCAAAAAAAGCACACAACAACAAACGTATACTAGTCTAATATGTGGGGGGAGATCAACATTGTGACACAACAAGGTAAATATCAACAGTAAGAGGAAGTATTTCAGAGGAAAACTCGAAAATGTTATAGCATTTTAGGATTAAAATCTCCTATGCAACAAAAGTAATAACTGTGACATAAAATCAGTTAGTGATTAAAGAAAAGGTTGAATTGTCCTAGAAAAAGGTGCATAAATGAGCTCACAGTGAAAGATTACAGTCTAAAGTCATTTGTACTGTGCCCTTGCTTTGAACTACATCAAATAAAATAAATGTAGTTTCCCGTGTGGAACCAAGAGTTAGTTTTCAGAATCTCATAACCAAACTAACTACGACTCTATCCACTGCTGTGGAGACTTAGAACAAAAAAAAAGAATTTGATTTACTGTAGAGATAAATGCAGACGCTTCTCATCGTGTCCACCGCTCCCCACATTGACTTTAGGCGTTCTAAAATTGTGTTCTCCTGGACTTCTCGTCTCCTGGACTTCTGGCGTTCTGATAAATCTTCCAACACGACCACAGCACCTAAACGGACGGAACCTCCACTGTGTGACTGAGTGTCTTTCACATGTTTCACCCAGACTTGCCGTTGAATGGATGTCCGGACTGAAGCTCCAGCAGCTGCTCCTCCTGCTCCTCCTCCTCCTCAAGAGGGGAGCTCTGCAAAGCGCCGATTCTGACTCTATTCATACGTAGGAAATCAGTTTCAGCACCGCGATTCCAGGTCCTGTGTGTGTTTTGTCACAGCGTCACCTAGCGACTTGATTTTCCCCTGTAAGCCATATTTCGTATTATTAAAACATTTTAGGCCAATCTAGTCTCACCAAAAAGTCAAATTCATAAAACATTTTAAAAGAGAGAACAATGTGTGACAAAATGTTCACGATTAAACATAATTCTCTACATGGCTAAAAGCTGTTACTTAATTATCGTGGTTTCAATTCATATTATTTCGTTTTTGTTTTCTTTCATTTTAACTGATTGCCCTTTAGTTCTGATATATTATCTCAATCTTTTCTTTATTGTGGAACATTTTAATGTTTCTCTTACATTTATAACAAAAAATGTTCAGAAAGTGTATTGTTTTTACTGTAAGTAGCTTCTACAAATATGATAACATTAGTTTGGCTTAGTTTGGTAGATTTTAAAAGGTAAATAGTAATTAAATAATTTATCTAAACATCCATCCTAGATTTAGGAAATGACTTAGCTTATCTCTTCCTTCCATTTCCCTTTCCTTATTTTAAGGAGGATGGAAGTTGAAAACCACATTTGAAATAAGCACTAACTCTAGCTTCTGTCTTTTATTAGAAGACGTTTATATATGACTTCATCTTACATTTACCTCCTGCCTCTTTTGTGATTTTACACCACCATCTGACCTGGCTTTTCCTAGGAGACAACTGCATAGCATGGTTATTGGTTTTTCATTATTTGAATTTGACAATGTTTGTCCTCTTCGATCCTAGTTCTGTTCACCAGCCAGGAAGAGAATAAAAGGTCAGGAAGGACATCATCTGGTGTAAAACGCTGTAATTTCTTCCTAGAAGAAAGCAGCAGCTGAAAGTATTCTACTCTGTGACTAATTAACTTGTGGTATCTCAGTCCATGTTCATGGTACAATAACTATTATTCATTTCTGATTTCATATGAATCAGACTGGATCGTCTCCATTCATTGCATCATGTGTTTTGCTCAAGTGTGAACTGCAACCTGGTTTTCATATGGAGAGCATATTTGAAAGCTTAGGCCTAACCATGTTTCCAAGGTTTTAGTATTACTATATTGGTGAAAACGGCCATGATGCAATTTGGCTGTCACTTGTTAAGGAGCCAGTTGTTGGAGGGTTTGGGGGAAAAGGGAGGTAATCATTTGACCTTGAAATTGAACATCTGTGAACAGTACAATGTGGATGAACTTTGTGAATGTGGATGGTACAACATGGTCAAGCTGCTATTTGACCTATTTGATCAGAAACACATAAATAACAGCTTACAGTCGTTCATGATCTCCATTGAATGGTGTCATAAGTAATTGTCTCAGTAAATAAAACTGCTGATAACACACAATCTATGAGATTCTTCACACTTGGAGGAGTCATCGGAATAGTCAGTGTTGGACTAACTGCAGCCAGACACTGACAATATATCCTGGGAATGTTGAGGTCGCCTCACAGTACAGACCTCTGAGCGTTGTTAACTGCTGTTTATTCTTAGTCGTTCCTATTGAAGCAAAACAAAAACCTTTCAAAAACATTACAACATGACTTTGCCCTATTTTGGAATAATACACTCAGAGGATCCCTCCTGTGGTTCCTTTGGAGGTTTCCTCCATTTGTTTGCAGTTTAGTGATATTTGGTGGAAAGCTTTTCCAAAGCCAGATGATAAGGTTTAGTGTGAGTGGCTGTTGAATCTTTCAGATAATGTTGAGCCAGCACTCCTAGAAATCTAACCTCCATAAATGTTAGTGTACAGACTCAGATCTGTTTTCAGGTTTTTCACACAGACTTGATTTTAAAGTGAAAGTATAACGGGTCCCTGTAACACATTCAAAATGTTTGACAATGTTTGACAAAGAAAAAATTCAAGAAAAAATCGTATACTATTCTGACGAACTTACATATTCGAATTCCTTGAGGTTTAACTTGCTACGTCTAACATAGCCTCAACAGTTGGGCTAAATGGCCTTGGAGAAGGTGTATGTGACACAGATACACCTCAGGAGGGCGACAAAGGAAAAGCTAGTGGAGGACGATACATATACAGACATACTGAACACCCAACAAAATGAGTCCTCAACAAAATTGAGTAGTAAAAGGTCAAATTTTCTCAGCACAAGACCACAGGCTGTTCACATACGCATATTTATGGCTCTGCATAATAACGCTTAAAAGATAATGACAATCTAGGGCAATTGTTTGCAATAGTAGAATTAATTGCTATCAATACGGTAAATAAATAATTATGGTATTACTTATATTGTTTGAAGATGTTGTAAGAGCAGCAGTTGTCAAACGTAGTGTTAGCAATAATAATAATCGTTTTAGGACTAATGCTACTGGCAATAAACAGTATAATTACAATAGTAATAAGCGGCGGTACGACGTATGTTCTTTTTCGCTTTCCGTACTCGGTTTTATTTATTTATTTATTGATACCCGGAAAAATTCCCACCCTCTGACGTCAGTGGGTGCTCTAAAAATGGCGGAGTCGGAAGAGGAGGTGAACGTTCTGGTGCAGAGAGTTGTCAAAGACATTACAAATGCCTTTAAGAGAAATCCCAACATGTAAGTAAATGGTTTTTGTGAGGATTTACGCTACAGAAATACGTGGACCGTCTCGTCACGTGAACGCCAACGTTAACAACTACTGCGTCCGGCATTAGTCTTCCGTTGGTTCGGACTATTACCTGGAATGTGAGCCGCCCAGAGAAAGTTGACAGTTTGTTTGTGTTTTTCGGACCGAAATGGCTCTAATGAAGAAACATTCAATGACATTTTTAATGTCTTATTTGTTATGTAAGTATTTTCTAGCAGAGCTAACTAGATAACGTGATAAAGCTGCGGTTCTCGAGACCGGACTTCGCAACTTCTTCGTTAGCAGCTACTCTCCTGACATCACAACATCTATATTATTTAGATGTGTATGCGTAGAGTGGAGGGAGAAGAGCGGGCACAGTTTTGTGCCTTACTTTACTTTTTTTGGTCGTTTGTTATTTGAGAAACAAACATTTGGGTTTGAGGTGTTGAAAAGTGCACATTCATTTTTAGCTAACAACTTACTTGCTGTCTGTAGGTGTTTCTGGGTGGAGTTGTTTATCAGTGGAAAAGTACACCCAGCAGGTGGCAGCAATTCAACAGAAAGGATGTTAAGCTACCTTAAAATCCATGATAGAACAGTGTGTGAGGCTGACATAATTGACAGTAAGTAGTGTAATGTTTGAACCTCGACACAAGTTTTGTGTGATCCAGTGCAATTTTAGGTAGGTGTAAATTTTGATCAAGTTTCAAACTTTCAAAGCTTCTCAGCACTAGATCTATTTGGGCTACAGATTCAAGATAATGTCACTCTAATTTACTAGTTTTATAAGATAATTAGTCCAAATGTGAATGGCTATGTTGTGAATGTCCTTGTTAGCAAATGTGGAGTGGTTGATAAAATACAAACTTTGGCCTTGAACTAACAAATATTTGTGTAAAGATAATGCCTATATTTTTTTGTATATGACATAGTACAAAATTATATAATAACATAATCATGTACTGTGGATTAATCCTGTCCTTGTCTCTTGTTTACTGTGTGTTCTGTCGTCTTCAGTGATGAAATTGGTGTGATTCAGTGTCCAGAAGCGCGTTGCAACCGCAGTCCCATTGTACTGGTAGAGAACAAGCTGGGTGTGGAGAGCTGGTGTGTCAAGTTTCTGCTGCCGTATGTGCACAACAAGCTGCTGCTATACCGCCAGCGCAAATACTGGCTGGACAGGGAAGGTAATACAATTAATCAGGGGTTGTGCAGCAGAATGATTCAGTTGTCTTGTAGGTTTGGATTGTATCTTTCACCTATTTTTCTGTCTCGTAGATGATAAAAAATATCTTTGTTTGGCTGGTCTTCAGTGGCAGCCTCTAAGAATCCTCAACTCAATAATGAAGCTTAAAAAAATTGTAATTTTTTTTTCTTTCAGCTTTGGGGGATATCACATGCACTTTGTTGTTGCTAAATCCAGACTTCACAACAGCATGGAATGTCAGGTATGTTGGCCAACTACAACTTGACCACAGAACAAATTATTATTGTTGTTGTTTATTATAAGAACAATGGTTTTTGTAATTAAATTCAGAAAACCATCTGGTTTTATAAACTGTTTGTGTAAAGGAAGGAGCTTCTACAGTGTGGGGTTCTTCACCCAGAAAAAGACCTGTACCTAAGTAAGCTGGCTCTCACCAGGTTCCCCAAGAGTCCAGAGACATGGATACACCGGTAAGATTTCATCTATTTCTAGTTTTTCTTTGTTTTATGTTATTCATGTGAAAATATTACCAGTTCCTTCTGAGACCGTTCTAATGCTGAAATGTTTTGAAATACCTACAATATTGATGCACATCATAAGTTGGCAGCTGCTGTTGTCTCACTTCAGGCGCTGGGTGCTGCAGCAGATCCAGAGCAGAAAGCAGGAGCAGGGTGATGCAGCACAGGTAGATGGAGAGAGGAGCCACCAGCTGAGTGACCACCTGGCCAGGACACTCCACCAGGAAATGAAGGTGTGCTCTAATGCTGCTGGTCGCTACCCTAGCAACTACAATGCCTGGTCCCATCGCATCTGGGTGCTACAGCAAATGGCGAAGGGCAATGTCAAGGTAGGATGAAGGAAAAAATAAATTGCACGGAGGGAGCTTTTGATGGAATTATTGTAGTTATTTTACCTTGATTACTTAGTTTCTTATGATTTTAGAGTGTAGTTAGAACATGATTGAATCTGACTTTGTGGTTCTGAAGAGGTGTTGTTTGATGCGTTTAGAAGACATTGTTACAGTACTTGGGTGGCTCAACTGAAATGCAGCCTCAAAAGAATCTTGCTCCCAGAATTTTGATTCTTTGTTCCTTGATGTCTCATCTCTGTCCAGGTTTTTCACGATGAGCTGTCGTCCATGCGTCTGTGGGTGTCCATGCATGTTTCTGACCACAGCGGATTTCATTTGAGGGAGCTCATCACTGAGCTGTCCAAAACTCCAGCTGCTAACACTATCACAACCTGTCCATCCCAGTGCCAGTCTGTCGCAACTCCCAGCACCAGTCCCCACCATCACAGTTGTGCCCGATCTAATGGTCAGCTCTCAAGAGGAGATAATGGCACAGATGAGGAGGAGAGACAGCTCAGCTCTACCACTGTTCTTCAGCTTTTCCACCAGGAGATGGAGCTGTGTTCTGACCTTATCCAGTCCTACCCTGGACATGAGACTCTCTGGAGTCATAGGTATAACAACACAACATAACACAGTGCACCATTTTCATATTGGTTAGACATTCCCTCACCAGATTGACTTTTGTAGAGATGGGGAAAAAAAATTTAATTCTTGATTAAGCAGAATTGATTATAAAAAGTTTCTGTCATCATGTTAAAGGATCTAATCTGAAGAATTGTTATTCACATTTGATACCTGGATGTGGTACACAGGACTTGTACGATATGTTCACATTTTGTGTATGCAAAGAGATTAATGGTATTTCTCCATCTCCTACTTGAAGCATGGGGTTGTCGTAAAAATCACTTTGTGTTTAATGATCTTCCTCAGAAGTCATCACCAAGAATGTGAAAGTTTTTTACCTGTTTTGTCAATGTTTTTCTCTTATAATCTCCTTAGGTTGTTAATATTTTTCAAGGTATTGAAAATAACTGTACAACTTTGATTATTTTTTCAGGCGACATGTCTTTTATTTATGGCACCACTGGAAAAGGGAACATCAGCACCTCAGCAGCAGTGACAACAGCAGCAGTGTTAATGGAAATAGGCAGAAAGTCGAGTCTCACGGTGGCGACGGTGGTCTGCCAAAGGTCAACGGTGAAAGCTGTGCAGACCAGGTGGAGAGCCAGAAAGAACGAAGTCCCACCGTTGAACCCATGGATGTTGACGTGCTGTCTTTACATGACAGTAAACGACTAAAGAGAGGCGTCCCGCTGCTTAGCATTACATTGTCCTCTGAGCACAGCTTCTTAGATGAAATCATGGACCGATGCTCTAACCCAGAGCAGAGACGTTTTGCTCTAGCATATGAAAAGTGGTTGGACACTGTTATTGGTCAGCGGCCATGAGACAGAGTCTAGGATATCTAGACTCTTTTCTTCACAGACCACAAGTTTAGGATCAGTTGACCTCCTGTAGCTCTGATAGAAACAAATAGACGGGCACAGTTTAAACTCTGACCTTGGCCGGAGGTGAGTAGAGAGGATGGTGATGGGATGTTGTTCCTCAGAAACAAACCTGGATTCTCTTGAGCTTCATCTGAGCCAGTGCTTCTTCAGAATGGAAATCAGCACAAAAGAAAGCCTATAGTTTTTTGTTATTATTTTATTTTCATATAGACTCCGCTCTTATTTTAGATTTGCTCAGTACCTCAGGACAGATTTCTACATTTTGTCCCAGTGTTCAACCACTAAATGCTTTTTTTCCTCCTTAAAATATTTCATCAGACAAACCCTTTTTTTGGGTTATAGGTTTCTACATTAGGATTCACACAGGTGAACTAATCATTATGTTCATTGAACCCGATATATATAATTCTATAGCCTTTTAGCTGATATTTATATAGGTATAGGATATATCCATGACAGTATGAAATAATGATTGACAGTTAATGTAAACAAACCGTAGCTACATTTGTCTTCACCATTATTTTTACATATTGCAGTATGTCTTTTGGCTCATCTTTGAAACGAAGAGCCGAAAGTCGAAGTGACTTGCAGTAAATCATGACACAAAAATATTAAAAAATATTTAAAAAAGGTAATGTAAAAACAAAGGTGTTTGTGATGAAATATTTTCTCATTGCAACAAAATGTCATCAAATTCAAATACCACTTGTTGCAATGTCAGGTTTAAAGCACAGAATCCTCAGATTTCCATTCTGAAGGCAATAATGGGTGTAAACCCCTTTTTATGTTGTGTTTTTGGTTGTCGCTGCTCTTCTGGGCTCTTCTCTATCCTGTTATTCCACTGAATCCAGTTGCTGAATCCTACATTGAAATGCGTGTGCGCCTTTTCAACATGGTCCAAAACTTCTTTTTTTTTAACCTTGATTTTTATGTGTGCACTGACCTTGGTCATCTGTAAGAGTTATCTTTTGTTAACCTGCAGCACTGAGACCATTAGCAGATCAATGTCGGCACTATTTCTTTTGATTAACTGGTACTGAGGAAGGACCGTGTTAGCTGACAGTGCCTGGAGCTACACGTTCCAGCTACAGCAAGTGGGGTGAACATCAAGGATGAGTCTCCTATCCAAGGTTGCAGCCAAGCTTGTAGAAATAACGTATATATTTGCCAAACACCATTTAACAGTACATTTGAACCTCAGACTATAAAAACGTCTGGTTTGCTACTAACCTATGTATCCAGTTGACACAAAACCTATAAATAGTTTTTGGGATACAATACATTTATTCATATTTTCTGACCTTTACATTTTAGTTAAAGGTCCACTTTGCAAGAATAGGTGACATCTAATGGTTAGATTAGACGAGAGGAAGGCTGCGTGGCTCATCCTTCATTTCCTCAGAAGAATCCAAGAACTTAGAATGAGGGATGTCGTAAAGATGACTATTGGTCAAAAACGCTTCAATAGAAATAGATCTTTTTGTTTTATTTTATTTATATAAATACATATACAGTATATCAGTAAAAGTATTACTTAGTATTATTCTGTAAGTTTCTGCTCCCTGGAGCCAAACAGTAAGTAATGCAGAAACAAGGCAGTACAACCTGGTGGATATTGTTGAAGCACAACCCTTGTTGACAGTACATGACAACAGGCGTTGAAAAACACTTTAATGTAAAAGTATATTAGAGTCGTGTACAAACCCTCATCAATGTTACACACCAGACCTTTAAATAAGTACTGCTCATTCCTTCATTCCTGGCTGGCTTATAAGAAACGATTAATGATTTTACTGTGGCTGATAACTCATAACCTGCTTTATTTAAAAGATAAGAATCTTTAAAAAGATCACACTTTTTTTCTGTGATTTGAATAATTATTATAGCAGTATGATTTCTCTCTGTTTGTGACTTTTGTCTAGGTATGGCGCTACACAGCCTTTTTCATATGCAATACAGAAACAACTTAGTATCTGCCGATACCGATCTATCCAGTACTTTCTATCCTACATGCTGTGGGCTGCCATTTCTGGGGTGAAGGTGTCCCTGAAAGGTTGACTGATCCTAAGTATCGGATCTAGCCTTCCCTACTTTTATCATGTTGATTTTGTACATGACGTGCTTCTATAATCCTTCCAGTCATATTCGGACATCTAAACTTCCAGACCCCATATACATGCTGCAAATAATAATATATTATCTCACACAGGCACAGAGGACTTAATAGCCAATCACCATCTTTCTAGTGAAAAACAACCAAAAATTTTAGGCCCAGAAATATTAGTAACTAAAAATGTCACCCCTTTACTGTGATGGGAAGCTTTACTGCTACTGAACACGGACGTTGGAATTCAAGGTGGACGCGGGGTTCGTTGCTGCTTCAGTGCCCTCTTGTGGAAAGAAGTTCTTTATGGTAAAAGCTGGTTTAACCCCTAACCTTGAATCACACTTAAAGAAATAATAAATGGAATATTTCATTACTTCAACTATATGGCATAAAAACTACACATCTATTTTAAATATTTTCAGTGGGAACAAATACAATTTAGACTTAGTTTAGTGGTTATTGAATGGTGGTGCTAACATTACACTACTTGACACACATTTGTAGCCATGCTCATATCACCTTGTAGTGGCCTCGGTGCTGAATGCCCACATAAAAGCCTTCCATGTTACTTTTACTACATTTCTTCACTCAGATATTTTTTCGTGTGTGTGTTTAAAACAGTGTATGTGATGTTTATGTTCACTGGTTAGGAGAATTTAACTTCGTTACAGACTTAGAACTTAAACTTTAATTTCTATTTATATCTATGCAGAGTGGTTTTTAGGGTTTATTAAGCTTTAGCAAATGATGTAGCTTGTGTTTTCTTTGTTTGTTTTTTTTCCTAATTTATTCTTTAGTAAACCTCGGCAGACACACTGTTGTAAACGATTAACCTTTGAAGCTGAGAACAACCAGTGTAAATGTTAAAATGCCATTGTCTTCAGCTTTTAAAAATGTCAATGATAAGCTGGTTGTAATTGGGAATTGTTTTCTCAATGAGGACAATAAAAAGGCACAGTTAAGATTTTTTGCAGTGGTTTTGTGTGTGATGCACTGTACAGTACAATACCAGATACATTTAAATTCAACGAGGTCAACTTTAAATAAGAAAAAAAAGGTCGCTCTTTGCCAAGAGTGTCACAATATGGCTGAAAACAAATCCACCAGAGATACAGCAACACTAAGAATGTTCATAACAACAATTTTAAAAATAAAAACAAACTGGTGAGCACTGCTTCATTTGTGGGAGGTCCCAGAATGCAAAGAACAGGTAGCTCTGGCAACAATTGAGATTGAGAAGAGTTTGGAGGAGGAACTTCTCAAAATACACAAGCACACCATGTATACCATCAGCATGTATGCATGCACACCTCTATCTCTATCAGTAAAAGGCTGGAGTGAAGGCAGGAGGTGGTCATGAGAATTTATTTTTGTAATCACTGTGTTTAATTAAATATGTTTCAATAAAATGGTCATTTTAAAACAACATATTCTTTGTCAGACTGTGAATGTGGATAAATTGTTTTAAACTGCTCTCTCTGTTTGTCCTGCATGTGTGATGCTGTGACGGTGGGATGAAGGAGGGGCGCACACGCACACGCCCACACGCACTCACACAGTCGGCAGCAGCAGCAGCAAAGGGGAAGATGGAAGAGTAGGAGGCGGTGTCAGAGCGGATCTCCAGCCCGCAGCAGCATCACCATCACCGCTGATGGTCGCAGGTGAGTCTGTGGGTCCTCTGCGTGTTAGTGCCTCCGCGGCGGAAGCAGCAGCAGCTGGTAACCAGACTGTGGTGTTTATTATTGTTGTTGTAACGGTGAGAGGGCTTCACTGTCGCCGCTTGAGGAGTGGCTACTACGGAGACAGATGGGAGAGGAAATGCCATATCTGGGTCCAGAGACAGAGACCAACATCGGACAACGCTGGCTCCGTGTACGAAGGCTTTGTGGAGGGCGACCGACCACTGGCCTCACATAAATGAAGGCCTGAGAGAAGAGAGGCCCTGTTGTTTGCAGGCGGCTCCGCACAACCAGGCTGGCTGATCACGGTCCAGTCATCATCATCATTGTCACAGTGGCCTGGCTGCCTTTGGTTCTCTGACTGTGGTCTGTTTGTGCTTTTGCATAATTGCATCTTGCAGAATCTGTATTGCCTTTTGTGATTGTTTGTGCTCAACAAAAACAACAACACACACGTTTGCAGGGTGTGTGTGTGTTGGATGCAGGTTGGTGAGTGTTGTTCCTGCGGTCTGTCAGAGCTGCAGCAGTGTTCAGGATCACACACATTGGTTTTCATCACTCTCACGTTTGCAGCACACTGGGACATTTGGAGACAATGACTATTGAATATTGATAGTAAACAGTCCGGCCTTTCAGACTGAATATAATATAATATAAGTACTTAGTGTCATTAAAACCTGACGTTTACAGTTCAACAAATCTTTGATTGGTAAAGCTGATGTGTCCTGCAGCACAGGGACAGTTACCTGGTAACAGTAAATATAAATGGACCCAAATAACCACATTGTCTCATATATGCCTAATCAACCTTAAATACTGAGCCAAACAAATACCGTTGAAGCCCACATTCTTCCAATCCGTGGCAGCACATTAAGTTGATGTTGATCCATAGAATGTAAAGGCAAAAAGTGGAAAAAGTATAATAAGGATAGTAAAATAAGCATTAACATTTTTGACAAATGTATCTGTGCCACCACAGTTGCTGGTGGTTGGTGGCTTATAATTGTAATTGGTGGTTACAGATCATCTATAAATAATTAATGTTCAAATGACAAACTGTTTCACTTAATGTGAGCTTGTAGAACATGAAGATCATTCAGAACACTAACCTAAAAAGAGGGGGCCCACTACTGTGCTTCGTTTGGCCCCTAAATTGGGATGGATGAGGGGTCATTAAAATTCAGACCGTGTCTGTCTGATAGTTTCAACACTGAGTGTACCAGCAGGGGGTGCGCTGAGCTCAGTCAAAGCTGACTGTGTGTCTGAACTTCATACATCTCCCCCTCAAATTATCTCAACTTTAATTTAGAATATATTTATATACTTATATGTAAGCATGAATATGAATCAATGTATTTTTTATTTACAACAATTTATGAGTTTGTGATTGTTATATTTATTGCAAACTGATATATTGAAATATTCTTTCTCAGTGGCGCTTTGGCCCAGAGGCAATGTCTCTGTTGGTTCCTTCCAGTGGACTCACCACCCACAGGAAGGTTCAGGGGGGATGGTACAGTGCAGTGTGATTTGGGTGGAGGTCATGGAGACAGCTGCCCCCGTGACCCGGTAACAGATAAGCAGATGAAAGAGGATGGATGGATATTCTTTCTCAAAACTTCGCATTTATCACTATTTAACTAAACAAAACAATAACAGACGTATAATTATGTAGAAAACCTAAATATTAATGAGTAACTGGTGTAACCTATCAATGTGTTGGTGCGCTCATGTTAAATATATTAGTGTCAGACAGGAAGTGACAGTCGTGGTGGTGGAGATGAAGAGTACCTCTGCCCCTGGAGAGGTCACCTCTTCATCTGCCCTTCTACAGAGAGTAATGACAAAGTGGTTTCCAAGGCGACAAGCAGTCGGTTGATGTCAGGGCTTTAAAGCAGTGAGAGAGGCCAGAGGATACATACCACTGTGGCAGCCTTCAGATAGTGTCTCCTCCTTTCTATGAAAGCCACACACTCAGCGTGTGAAAACATGGAAGCAAATGTATAGGACCAAATGTTGGAGCATAATTGTAACCAACAGTGACAAATAATCACTTAAATTAAAAATAGAAAATGGGTAAAAATCTTTAAAAAAAAAAGTGACAGCAAAGACCATACAATACTTTCAGACAAATGGTGGTTCTGTCTGGTTTAAATATTCCTGTTTTCTAGACATTTTTTGTAACATCAAAAAAGTAAATCCTTATCGTCCAATCAGGAAACACAGAGACATTATAGACAAGTTAGGGTTAGGGTCTCATTTCATCCAACAAAAGTTAGAGTAACATCAGTTAAAGTACTGCCAAGCTAAGCTAAACCTGCTAAATCCAACACTTTATCTCTGTTGGATTTTGATTTCACCACCCACCTGATTTATTTACCCCATCTACCCCTGTTTTAGATGCATTTAAATTCAGCAGTTGTGCTCCATAAGCAACAACAGGTGGCTGTAGCCACACTGTCGTCTGCTTTGGTGTTG